ATATTTATGTTGTATATATTATTTATATATGATATATAAATGGATATATTTATAAATATATAAATATAATATCATTTAATGAAATATGTGATTAATATGTTAATATGTATGAATTATATAATTATAGATTAATTAGTATTGACAAATGGATATTAATATGTTATGTTGATAATATATTGATATTATATACATATATATTTTTCTTTTTAAAAATATAATTTATTGTCAAGTTAGCTATCATACACTATATACAGTGCGCTCTTGGTTTTGGGGGTAGATTCCTGTGATTCATCGCTTACATACAACACCCAGTGCTCATCCCAACAAGTGCCCTCCTCAATGCCCATCACCCATTCCCTCTCCCCCACCTCCCCATCAACCCTCAGTTTGTTCTCTGTATTTAAGAGTGCGTTACGGGTTTGCCTCCCTCTCTGTTTGAAACTATTTTTTTCCCCTTCCCTTCCCCCATGGTCTTCTGTTAAGTTTCTCAAATTCCACATATGGGTGAAAACATATGATATCTGTCTTTCTCTGACCGACTTATTTCACTTAGCATTAATGCCCTCCAGTTCCATCCATGTTGTTGTAAATGGCAGGATTTCATTCTTTCTTATTGCCAAGTAGTATTCCATTGTATATATAAACCACATCTTCTTTATCTGTTCGTCAGCGGATGGACATTTAGGCTCTTTCCATAATTTGGCTATTGTTGAAAGAGCTGCTATAAACATTGAGGTACAAGTGCCCCTATGAATCAGCACTCCTGTGTCCTTTGGATAAATTCCTAGTAGTACAATTGCTGGGTTGTAGGGTAGTTCTATTTTTAATTTTTTGAGGAACCTCCATACTGTTTTCCAGAGCGGATGCACCAGTTTATATTCCCACCAACAGTGCAAGAGGATTCCCCTTTCTCCTCATCCTCAATAACATCTGTTATTTCCTGAGTTGTTAATTTTAGCCACTCTGGCCAGTGTGAGGTGGTATTTCAATGTGGTTTTGATTTGTATTTCCCTGATGAGGAGTGACGTTGAGCATCTTTTCATGTGTCTGTTGGCCATCTGGATGTCTTCTTTGGAAAAGTGTCTATTCATGTCTTCTGCCCATTTCTTCACTGGATTATTTGGTTTTCAGGTGTTGAGTTTGGTAAGTTCTTTATAGATTTTGGATACTAACCCTTTACCCAATATGTCATTTGCAAATATCTTCTTCTGTTCTGTCGCTTGCCTTTTAGTTTTGTTGATTGTTCCCTTTGCTGTGCAGAAGCTTTTTATCTTCATGAAGTCCCAATAGTTCATTTTTGCTTTTATTTCTCTTGCCTTTGGAGACGTGTCAAGTAAGAAGTTGCTGTGGCTGAGGTCGAAGAGGTTGTTACCTGTTTTCTCCTGCAGGATTTTGATGGTTTCCTGTTAATGTTTATTTATTTTTTTGGGGGGGGGGAGGGACAGAGAGAGAGAGGGAGACAGAATCTGAAGCAGGCTCTAGGCTCTGAGCTGTCAGCACAGAGCCAGATGTGGGGCTCAAGTGCATGAACCGTGAGATCATGATCTGAGTCGAATTCAGATGCTTAACCAACTGAGCCACTCAGGCGCTCCTATATTTTTATATATTAGTATTGTTGAGCCATAAAACAGTAGAAATCCTGCCATTTACTACAATGTGCATGAGCCTGAAGTAAAATAAACCAGACAAAGACAAATACTGTATGATATTACTTATAAGTAGAATCAGGAAAAGAAAGGTCAAATTTATAGTAACAGAGTAGGACCATGGTTACCAGGGTCTGGAGGGTGGAAAAAATGGGGAGATACTGGCCAAAGGGTACCAACTTTCCCTTATAAGATGAACAAGTTCGGACACCTGGGTGGCTCAGTGGGTTAAGCATATGATTCTTGGTTTTAGCTCAGGTCATGATCTCATGGCTTGTGAGTTTGAGCCCTGCATCAGGCTCTGCACCGATGGTATAGAACCTGCTTGGGGTTATGTCTCTCTCTCTTTGCCCCTCGCCCCCTCAAAATAAATAAACTTGAAAAGAAGGATGAACAAGTTCTGTGGATCTGATGTACAGCACAGTAACTATACTTTATTGTATAATTGAAATTTGTTGAGAGTAAATTTTAAGCCTTCTCACCACACATCACAAAAAGGAAACTACGTATAATGACTTTATTGTTAACTGACTTTATTGTGGTAATTCTTTCACAATGTATAGTTATGTCAACTCATCACGTTTTACACTTTATTTTATTATATTTTTATATATTTTTTTTATTTTTGAGAGAGAGAGAGAGAGAGCGAGCGCCAGAGGGGAAGGGGCAGAGAGAGAGGGAGACACAGAACCCGAAGCAGGCTCCAGGTTCTGAGCTGTCAGTACCGAGCCGGATGCGGGGCTCAAACTCACGCAAACCGTGAGATCATGACCTGAGTGGAAGTCAGATGCTCAACTGACTGAGCCACCCAGGCGCCCCATGTTGTACACTTTAAATATATGCAATTGTATTTATCAGTTATACCTCAATAAAGCTGGGGGTGGTGGTGGTGAGTCCCTTTAAACATAGTTACTCATTTGGACATTAGGCATTTCATGCCGCCTGCCTCCATTTCAGCTTCCCTCCCCGAAAAGGTGATTAGGAATGTGGGGGATGGAGTGAGGTTTGAATATCCTCGTGGCAGTGGGGCACAGGTGGCCCTTAGTTAATACATTTGGTATGCTTTCATCTAGAATATTTCCTGCAACCATTCTCTCTTGTATGATGTTTGCTTCTTGGTTCTTCGTGCTATCTATAGCACGATGCACTTGACTTGTTTTTGCCATGGAAAATATCAGAATTATAAATATTTTTAGTTGTATAGGTAAAAAGCCATATTTTGGTGCTTAAAAATTTCTGGTCAGAAGTATTTGCCTGCTGCATACTGTTTATTGTATCTTATGAAATGGAAACTTGATGTTAATTCCTGATCTCAGAATCATGTACTTGGATGTGACCACAGGCACTGATTCTACAGACACTATCACTTTAACTGTTATTTGGGATTATCTAAACTTGTTTAAAAGGAAAGAAAGGAGTCAGCCGCTATTTTGGAGATCACCCTGATGATGAATTTTACTTTTTGAATTTTTTCTTATTTGGGGAGAAAAAACAGTTTCAGAATATGCTGCTATTGATAACTACTCACAAACCCATTTATGATCAAAGATGTAGCAGAAAACAATTTTTTTTTTTTGTTCTGGTCAGCATTGTCTGTCTAGGTAAATATATTGATTTCCAATATAATGGCATTTTAAAAATGTAAATCATTGTAAATATAAATGTAAATAATTTGTGAAATGTAAATAAATGTAAAATAATTTATTCTTTTAAGATACATGCTCCCCTTGGGGCGCCTGGGTGGCGCAGTCGGTTAAGCGTCCGACTTCAGTCAGGTCACGATCTCGCGGTCCGTGAGTTCGAGCCCCGCATCAGGCTCTGGGCTGATGGCTCAGAGCCTGGAGCCTGTTTCCGATTTTGTGTCTCCCTCTCTCTCTGCCCCTCCCCCGTTCATGCTCTGTCTCTCTCTGTCCCAAAAATAAATAAACGTTGAAAAAAAAAATTAAAAAAAAAAAAAAGATACATGCTCCCCTTAATGAGATTCAAAAGAAGTCAGATGTGAGGGATGTGTACCGATGCAGAGACAAGGTATGAAGTTCCTGTAATCTACATCATGTCTGTTTCAATGGGGCTTTGAGAACCAACTGAAACCATATCATTTTCCATCATAAGGGCAAGCAAAACTATAAAAAAAGGCAACTAAATCTTGGTCCAGAAACAAATAACTACCAGTGGTTCTTCAGCTCATGGTTTCGGTTCAGGTCATGATCTAAGGGTTCATGAGGGCGAGCCCCACGTCAGGCTCTGTGCTGACATTGGGGAGTCTGCTTGGGATTCTCTCTCTCTCTCTCTCTCTCTCTCTCTGTGCCCCTCCCCCGATCATGCACGGGCGTTCTCCCTGTCTGTCTTAAAATCAATAAATAAACATTAAAAAGGTAAAGAAAAGGATAACTACCCACTGACAGCCCCCTCCATCCCAAACCTCAGGACTCTTCTTTCCTTGGGACCACATAAAGGGTGATTGTGGTACTCTCTTAAAAAAAAAAAAATATATATATATATATATATATGTGTGTGTGTGTGTGTGTGTGTGTGTTGAGTAAATAAATGTGCTGAATCTTGGCTGTGCCTTGTGGGGAGGGAGAGGCTGGAAAGGAGCAAGGGGGCTGAGGAGAGAGAGCGGACCGGGGCACAGACCTGGTCACTTCGGAATTGGATTCTCTAGACCCAGCTGCCCCAGCAGGTACCACTTGGATCACAGAGCAACCACCCCAACAAACCCTTTTTTAATTCCTGACTCTTACAATTTTAAGCAAAATAAAGCCAGTACTTTTTTGGGGCAGCTTGCTGCCCCATTCCAGCCAAAATGGTGGTGATGGGGTATCATTCTGATTCTAGCAACAAAGCAGCTGAGGCTAGTGCTTGAAGTAATTTACCTAAGGAGGGGGGCTTAGGGCTTGTACCCAGACAGTTGAATTTCCATGCTTATTATTGTGCTTACCCCAAACCTAGACTAATGGTTCTCAACTGGGGATGACTCTGCCCGCCCCCCCCCAGCCCCCTGCCAGGGACACCAGGCAATGTCTACAGAGATGTATGGTTATCACATGGTGGGGGGGAAACTCCTGGCATCAGGTGGGTGTGGGCAGGGATGCTGCTCAACACCTCGAAGTGCCCAGGATGCCCCCACCATGGAGAACCACCCAGCTCCAAGTGTCAATAGCACTGAGTCTGGGAAAGCCTTCTCTAGACCTCAGAGTCTGGTTTTTCTGCTTACGAGATGCTCTGTATCACGCATTGGCTGCCTGCAGGTCTGGAGTAAAGATCCCTTCCTGAAGTGTAGCACCCAGCTCCAGGAAGGCTGTCCTAGTCAGCTTGAGCTGACGTAATAAAATACTACAGACTCGGGGAGGGGGCGGTGTAGACAACAGACCTTTATTTTCTCACAGTTCTGGAGGCTGGGAAGGCCCAGCAGGGTCAGGTTCTGTCAAGGACTCTCCTCCTGGCTGGCAAACAGCTGCGTCCTGCTTGCTGTGTCCTTACATGGTAGTGGGCGGGGGGCTGGGGAGAGAGAGAGAAAGAGAGAGAGACAGAGAGGTGAGGAGGGGAGGGGCAGAAAGAGGGAGAGAGAGAGAATCCCAAGCAGATTCTGCATTCTCTGCATGGAGCCCTATGTGGGGCTCTAACCCCCCAACCGTGAGATCATAACCAGAGCTAAAACCACGATTCCGACGTTCAACAGACTGAGCCACCCAGGTGCCCTCATCGATCACTTTTGACACCGTATGTGTGGGTTTTTCCTCCCACACTGGCCAATTCTCTGACCCCAGCTGGGCATCCTATGATTCAATCCCCCCACCATCTATCTGGAGTTAGTGGGAGATCCCACCAGTTAAGGGCTCGGTCCCACCAGACTGCCCGCCCCCCCCCCCCCCCCGCCTTCAGGTGCCAACCATGTCTGGGTCTCTGACCAACCGGCTGTGAGTAGCAGGTTTCCACAACTCCTCGGGTTGATAATTTGCAATCCCAAACTCACAGAACTCAGGAAAACAGTCTACTAACTAGTTTGATTACCTGTTTGATATAAGAGGATACAAGTCAGCAACGGCCAGATGGAAGAGACACATGGGGCCAAGTTTGGAGAGGGGTCGGGCCTCTGCGCCCTGTCCGGACAGACACCCTGCCCTCCGAAAACACCTTCGGGTCAGAGCTTTCGTTATGTAGGCACGGTTGATTAAATCATTGGCCATTAGTGCTGAGCTCAATTTCCAGTCCCTCTTCCCACGTAGGCCATGAGGGGGTGGGGCTGAAAGTTCGAACCCTCTAAATTACTTTCGTTCCGTGGCAACCAGCTCCCCCATCCTTTGGGGCTTTCCAAAAGTCACTTCGTTAACACAAACTCAGGCACGGTTGAGTTTAAAAAGGGGCTTGTTATGAATAATGAAAGGAGATTACAGGATTTTAGGAGCTAGGAGCTCTGTGTCAGGGACTGGAGACAAGACCAAATATATATATTATTATATTTATAATATTATAAATATATATAACTATATAAATATATATTTTTAGTATATATAGTATATATAATATATACTATAAATAAATAAAAATATATATTATATGCAATATCACCTTCCAACGGCCCCATCTCTGAATACCATTACATTGGGGTATAAGACCTCAACTTGAGAAATTTGGGGGACACATTCCATCTATAACATGGGTACCCCACCCCCCCAGTTGGTGCTTCAGCTAAGTTCTTACCTGGCTGTTCTACTAGCCTATGACTCCCCGTGGTTTTTACTTCTGGTGTTTATGATTTCCCTCTCAGTGGACTCTCCATTTTATTTCTTGTGCAGGAGGATAGTTTGGGGACTACTTGGCTTCCAATTCGTTAGAAGAAAAAGACTTTTTTAAGTTTATTTATTTATTTTGAGAGACAGGGGAGGGGCAGAGAGAGAGGGAAAGAGAGACAGAATCCCAAGCAGGCTCTGCTCTGTCAGCCTGGAGCCCAATGGGGGCTTGATCCCATGAACTGTGAGATCATGACCTGAGCCAAAGTTAGACACTTAGCTGACAGCCACCCAGGCACCCCAGAAGAAAAAGATTTTAAACGCAAGCAATTTCAGAAAATTGGTGAGCGCCTGTGAGATGAATTATGTTAATTATGAAACCCAAATCCCAGGGCTTTAATTTATTTTTATTTCTTTATTTATTTTTAAGTAGGCTTCACATCCAACGTGGGGCTTGAGCTCACAACCTGAGCTGAGATCAAGAGTTGGACGCTTAACAACAACAAACAACAACAACAACAAAGAGTTGGACTCTTAACTGACTGAGCCACCCAGGCACCCCCAAATCACAGGGTTTTTAATGGACATAGAATTTACATAATTACAAGCATACCATTGCAATGATATTGACCGACGCTTTTATCTCGGTAACCCACATTCCTTACAAGATTCGGACCATTTCCATCACTCCAGAAATGTCCTATGTGTCCTTCCCAAGTCAACACAACAGGGTTGTAACCATTGTTGTGTTGTTGTAACCATTGTTCTGACACTCATTACGATGCATAAAATTGTTCCTGAACGTCTGATATGTAGAAGTATATAGAGTGTGTTTGTTGGTGTCTGGCATCTTTCACTCAAAATAAGGTTTCTGAAGTTCAGCCATGTTCTGTGTATCAGCAGTTCATTCCTTCTTCGTTGTTGAGTAACATTTCATTGTACAAATGGAGCTCAGTTTGCTTATCCTGTTGGAAAAGAAACAACGACCCTGAATGGAGTCATTTGCTCCCACGATGGCAAGCCAAGACACGATGGCAGCCTCAACCTCCCCAAAACGTGATTTTTGAACAGTCAACCTGAAAGGTCCTGATCAGTGCTAATGAGGTAATGCATGAACTAAGATCCCTTCTATTTCCTCTTCCTCTTCTGTAGAATGAATGGGGCTTAGCCTGAAACTTTTTTTTTTTTTTTTTTTTTTTTTTTTAGAGAAAGAGGCCACAAAGAAGAAGGGCAGAGGGAGAGAGAGAGTCTCAAGCAGCGCTGGATTCCACGACTGTGAGATCATGACCTGAACAGAAACCAAGAGACCAAGAGTTAGACACTTAACGGACTGAGTCACCAAGGTGCCCCTGAAACAATCTTTTCTTTTGTTTGGTAATAACTTCTTTGCTCCACTCTCTCGCTCAGAAAAACTTTGTTTTATACCGTTCCATAGAGTGCCATTTTCTGGAAGGGATGCTCCCGAACTGATGGATTGTTAAATTTATTCCATTGAATTTTTGTTCTTTAGAAATCTGTTCCCTAGTTGACGGACATTTGGGTTGTTTCCCGGTTTTGCTTATTATGAATAATGCGGCTACAAACAGCACTGGGCACCTGTCGGTTAACACATGTTCATCGTTATCAGGGAAACACCTAGAAGTGAACTGATTAGTTACAGTGTTGGTACACATTTAATTTTACAAGGCTCTTACCATATATATTTTTTTAAATAGCAATATAAAAATCAAAATAGAAACAGAAACTTGAAAACACATACGTGTGTTTGCACATCAGTCACAAAACGTGGTACCCATATGTTACCATTTTTATGCAACCACATAATAATTCAATACATCGCGCTAAAAAAATTTTTTTTTAATCTTGTAAAATGTACCTAATTTTAACATCTTAATCGTGTTAAAGTGTGCAGTGCAAAGGCATTAGGTACATTCACATTGTTGTGTGACCATTCTCCATTACTCATCTGCAGGACTGTTTTTTTTTAATTTTATTTTTTATTTTTTAAAATTTACATCCAAATTAGTTAACATATAGTGCAACAATGATTTTAGGAGTAGATTCCTTAATGCCTCTCACCCATTTAGTCCATCCCCCCTCCCACAACCCCTCCAGTAACCCTCAGTTTGTTCTCCATATTTATGAGTCTCTTCTGTTTTGTCCCCCTCCCTGTTTTTATATTATTTTTGCTTCCCTTCCCTTGTGTTCATCTGTTCTTTTTTTTAAAAATTTTTTAACGTTTATTTATTTTTGAGACAGAGAGAGGTAGAGCATGAACGGGAGAGAGAGGGAGACACAGAATCTGAAACAGGCTCCAGGCTCTGAGCTGTCAGCACAGAGCCCAACGCGGGGCTCGAACCCACGAACTACGAGATTGTGACCTGAGCTGAAGTCGGACGCTTAGCTGACTGAGCCACCCAGGCACCCCTGTTCTGTGTCTTAAAGTCCTCATATGAGTGAGGTCATATGATATTTGTCTTTCTCTGACTGACTAATTTCGCTTAGCATAATCCCCTCCAGTTCCATCCATGTAGTTGCAAATGGCAAGATTTCATTCTTTTTGATTGCCGAGTAATACTCCATTGTATATACAGACCACAACTTCTTTATCCATTCATCCGTCAATGGACATTTGGGCTCTTTCCATACTTTGGCTATTGCCAATAAGGCTGCTATAAACATTGGGGTGCATGTGTCCCTTCAAAACAGCACACCCGTATCCCTTGGATAAATGCCTAGTAGTGCAATTGGTGGGTCATAAGGTAGTTGTATTTTTAGTTTTTTGAGGAACCTCCATACTGTTTTCCAGAGTGGCTGCACCAGTTTGCATTCCCACCGCAGGACTGTTTTAATTCTGCCCCCCTTCGCATTTATATTTCTTTTTCTGGTAGCATGAACTTTCTGGGAACGACCTAGAAACTGTGAAAGCCTGAAAGTGATTTTGAACAGCTTTTCTTCTTTTTGAGTGTTTTTTTGGAACTCTCTTTTTCCTTTTCAGCATTTCTCTGTAAGTTTATCTCCTTCTTTCTCTTTTTTTAAGTAGGCTTCATGCCCAGTGCAGAGCCCAACGCGGGGCATGAACTCAAGACCTTGGGGTCAAGACCCGACCAGAGATCAAGAGTTAGATGCTTAACCGACTGAGCCACCCAGGCACCCCCCAGAACTCTAACATATTCTGTCCATTTGTTGTTTTTTCTCTTTCACCTGTCCTATCTCTGATTCAGATGTTCTGGAGAAAATTGAACACGTGTTGTAACTATTCCAGGTTTGTGAGACATACCTGGAAGGGGGCTGTTTCTCAGCATCATCTCAAAAGCTTTAAATAACACCGAGCCTTAGGACCATCTGAGACTGACTGCATTGGAATTTCTAGATGTGAGGCCCAATAACATGTATTTTAACAATATTGGTATATGGTAGGCAGAATTGAAGACTAACCCCAATGACCCCTGCCCTTATATAACTTCCTTCCCTGTGAAAAGGACAGGATATCACTTCCATGATTATGTTATACAGCAAAAGGGATTTTGCAGGTTTTGCTTAGTTGACTCTGAGTTAATCAAAAGAGATTATTCGGGTGGGCCTGGGCTTTTTATACAAACTCTTCTTTTTTAAAAATTTTTTAAATGTTTATTTATTTTTGAGAGAAAGAAAGAGTGTGAGCGGGGGAGGGGCAGAGAGAGAAGGAGACACAGAATCCGAAGCAGGCTCCAGGATTCAAGCTGTCAGCACAGAGCCCAATGTGGGGCTTGAACCCACAAACTGTGAGATCATGACCTGAGCCAAAGTTGGATGCCTAACTGACTGAGCCACCCCAGGCGCCCCTACACAAACTCTAACTCTGGATCTAGAAGTCAGAGGTGGAGAACGTTAGAGGCCAGAGATTCACAACTGGAGAAGGAGTCAGCCTGTCCTTGCTGGCTTTGAAGATGGAGGGAATCCTGTGGCAAGAGCCTGCACACATCTTCGAGCTGAGAGTGACTCCTGGCCAATAATAAGTGAGAAAGTGGAGACCTCAATCCTCCAACTGCAAGGAACTAAATTGTGCCAACAACACAAATGAACTTGGACATGATTCTTCTCTAGTCCAGCCTCCAGGTGAGAACACAGCTTGTAAACACCTCCACTGTGAAACGCTGAGCACAGAATCCCACGGAGCCTTGTCTGGACTGCCCCCTCTACGGACACCATGAGTTAATAAATGAGTGTTGTTTTAAACCACTAAGTTTGTGGCAATTCATTACATAGCTCTAGGTGACTAATAAACCTACTTATTTCTATGTGGTGAACCTGTTGAGTGGGGTCACTTGTCCTGAGAATTTTACACTGTGTGGATGTAGCACATTTTGTCTGTCCATTCATCAATTGATGGGCGTTGGATTATTTCCACTTTTTGGTTATTATGAACAATCTGCTACAGACATCTGTATGAAAGCATTAATCAGTTTCATATATATTAGCAAACTCACTTCAGATATTCTTTGGCTGACTGTATAAGTTATGTTTCCTGAATTTGAACCTGCCCTACTATCTTACCAATTCCTTCCTTAACGAATGAACTGAATAAACTCTTTGGCGCATGCTCATTTTATTTGCATAAAGACTGTGGTTTATATTTTTTGAACTTCACTAAAGGCCAGAGGTTTTCTGTAGCCTTTGGCTAACAACTAGGGCTATCCTTCTGGGTTCCTGCAATTGCTTCCTCCTCTGGCCTGTGAGAGCTGTGGCTAGCCCTGGGGATCTACATCTTTCCTGGCGGGTTCCCCTGACCCTCTCTCCATTGTTGAACATGGTCCCTTTACCGATCACAGTGAGTGTGCTATTTGTCTTCAGGCTGGACCTGACTGATACTGTAGAGGCAAGGAGCATTATGGGATATAGTTCCCTGTATCCCCGGCAGATACATAGTAGTACATAGCAGGTCCTCATTAGACCTTTGTAGAATGAAGAAACCAAAGGGCACATTCAAGCACTCAAGTTGCAGGTTCTTAAAGGTTTCTTATGTATCGGCTGCTATGAATTGGCAATGTTGATTAACTGTAGGTTAAGAAATCCCTATACCTTTCTGTTTCAGAAAATTGCTTACTGCAAGGAGCAACCCCTCACCATATGACATAGATAAGACTCACAGATGTCCCCCTCATTTATCTGTAGTAAGACCAGACACAGACCCTCCAAACCCTCGTTCTTTGCCTCAGAAGTGCTCAGCTGAACTGCTTGTCCCTGCTGATCCATTGAAGCACAATGCTTGTTAACCAAATTTTGGTTAAGCTCCTCTAGAGTAAAACTTCCTCTGATCCAATATCCCCTTTCACTGCCTTTTCATCCCACCTTCCCAGTGCTAGAAACTTCAGTTCTTTCTAGCATTGTTTATTCCTTTCTACAAAAGAAAAAAAAAATTCCCCCTTAAATCTTGAGATGCTTGAAGACTTTATATTCATGGTGTTCTCTTCTTGCAACAGTCCCCCTGACCAATTTCAATTATCTTTCCCTGCCCCCTTGTAAGACTCCTTTTGAATAAAGTCTCTCCTTACTGAGTCTGGATTTGCTTTTTATTGGACAGAGTAATGGCCGGACATACATGGTGCAGGGGAGGAAACAATTGCTCTACCCTGTTTTGGGGAATTATTACTAGTAGTTTTAATTATATACATTAGTTGGAATTCTTATCTCTTAGAAATCTTACTTTCTTAGTGAAAACTAGAAAGCAAGCAGTTATGAACTGTTATATACCAACATCTTATAGATTGGCAAATTCATGAATATACTATTTCATTATTTCTAGAAGCATCTATTTTCCACAATTTTCAACGTGGCACAAGACATGTTTACTAACAGACTCCAAAACTGTTTCATTTAAATAGGAAGCCAAAAGCAGGTCCTGATTTGTAAATAATCTAGACATTCAATTAATACCCATCATTTCACTTAAAATTTTTTTTAAATGTTTATTTATTTTTGAAGGAGAGAGAAACAGAGCATGAGCAGGGGAGGAGCAGAGAGAGAGGGAGACACAATCCAAAGCAGGCTTCAGGCTCCAAGCTGCCAGCACAGAGCCTGACATGGGGCTTGAACTCACGAGCCATGAGATCATGACCTGAGCCAAAGTTGGATGCTTAGCCATGCTTAGCCGACTGAGCCACCCAGGCACCCCAATCATTCCACTTTTAACTTGGTAGAACTGTAAGATTTAAAGGTACCAAAAACATTTTGGAAACTATTTTAAAGTGGACACACTTTAGGGGTGCTTGGGTGGCTCAGTTGGTTGAGCGTCTGACTTTGGCTCAGGTCATGATCTCACTATTTGTGTGTTTGAGCCCCCCCATCGGGCTCTGCTGACAGCTTCCAGGGCCTGGAGTCTGCGTCAGATTCTGTGTCTCCCTCTCTCTCTCTCTGGCCCTCCCCCACTCATGCTTTCTCTCTCTCTCTCTCTCTCTCTCTCTCAAAAATTAATACACATTAAAAAAATTTCAAGTACACACACTTATTAAACATAATCATTGTTGAAAAGTTCATTTATAAACTTTCATCTCACATTTCTTTAATTCAGTTGTTCTTAACAATTATGTTTAGATGACTTACCGGAACTTCATTAAACATTGAACAAAGCTGGGGCTGCAGGCTGGCTCAGTTGGTGGAGCATGTGACTCTTGATCTCTGCATCCTGAATTTGGGCCCCACGTTGAGTGTGGAGATGAGTTAAATAAATAAAAACTTAAAACAAAATTAAACAAAGTTAACCATCATCTCAAGTTATTTTTCTTGCTGACAATTTTTGTTAGTATCTATATTAGGCAAGCATCAAACCTTATAGGGTTGGAGCCCTCCCAGGGCCTTATGAAAGGCTATCTGCATATGAGGAGGAGGGTGTGGATGTTATGTGTGTTTTCAGTTTGTGTTTGAGCCTGGGAGTCCAGATGGCAGTTCAAGCTAAAGAAAGCCCGGGCATGTCTGGGCTTGTCTCCAGAGTCACGGAGCACCATCTCTCTAGGCCTATTTGCATAACAATAATGAAGAGTCCTTCCAGTATAGAGGTGATTTTAAGGGAGAAAAGAACCATACAGCTGGAATGTGATCTTGGGGTAGGAGAAAAGAAGTGTCTGCTCCAGATCTGCCAGCATGGATTTTTGCCTTCTCTGGGGTCTTGTGTGATCCCAATGGGGAACAGGTGGAGAGTGAAAAAAGAAATTAACGGACCAGTTTTTGCTAAGGCTGAACAAGTCTGCCACCTTCTCCGAGAACCCAGTGTTGTGGGGGAGGTCTCACTGTCTGATAGCTTTAAGCCTCAGGGGCTTCAGTTAAAGGTCTTAATGCCTCTGGACCTTGATGTGCTCACCAAGAAACTGATAGTGTCACAGGTGCATTTCGGTCCCCGAACACATGCCAAACCCCCAGATGCAAAGAAATGCAGAATGTGGGACTCTGGTGTCTTGCATCATACCGAAGGATGTGGTTGCCCCAAGGGGGGAAATCTGAGCTATCTTGGTTCAAATAGTTTCACTTAGGTCCTAGGGCTGATGAGATCTGGGGGAAATTCAGGTTAGACGCCCAAACTGGCATGGTCTTCGAGTCAGTATTTGGTGAATTTGAAAAAGATACAGTTTTTCCTTCTCAGATTGACAGACTCTCTGGCTTTTGTCATCCTCAGTCCAAAGGGGCACACAGAGAATGTTGAAATCCGGGACTCCTGGCTGGCTCGGCTGGTGGAGCACATGACTGGATCTCGGGATTGGGAGTTCGAGGCCCACGTTGGGTGTAGAGATTTTACTTAGAAACAAAATGTTGACAACCACCATCACCACCACCACCACAGAGAATGCTGGAGTCATCATGACTTCCAAATGTGGATGGGCCTCAGCCAATCAGTTAAAACCTGAGTGGAACAGAAAGATGGAGGAAAAAGAAATTCCTCCTGCATGACTGCCTTTGAGCCTGGATGTTTTTGTTCATGCCTTCATACTCAAACAGGAAGCCTGGTTCTTTGGATGGGTGTGAGCCTGTGGGACTTTGGACTATTTTATACCATTGATACTCCGTGGTCTCCAGCTTGCCCACTGAAGCTCTTAAGACTTGTGCAACGCCACGATTACGTAAGCTAATTCCTCATAATAAATCTCTCACTCTATTTTTGTGCATCCCATTGGTTCTGTTTCTCTGAAGACTGGTTACTAATGCAACCACTAATCTATTTTCTGTCTCTACGTGTTTTTCTATCATGGATATTTCATAGAAACAGAATCCCATAAAATGGAATCACAAAGTAGAGTCATTTTGCGTCTGACTTCTCTCAGTGTGGTCTTTCTAAGGTTCATTCATGGTGTAACATGTATCAGTGCTTCATTCCTTAACTGCCAAATAATATTCCATCATATCAACGCCACATTTGTTTATCCATTCATCTGTTGATGGACATTTGGGTTGTTTCAACTTGGGGCTATTTTGAATAATGTTGTAGTGAACATCTGTGTACAAGCTTTGTGAGGATGTAGGCTTTTATTTCTGTTGGGTACATACCTAGGAGTGAAACTGTAGGTCATGTGGCAGCTCTATGTTACTTTTTGAGGAATGGCTGGGCAGTTTTCCCCGGACGCTAACCCGTTTTAGAATCCCACCAGCGATGTATGAAGGTTCCTTTGTCAGTCAAGGTCAGGGTTCTCCAGAGAAACAGCCAACAGGAGATACACATCTGTAAAGAGGTAGAGTATGGGGAATTGGCTCACAAGTGTACGCCCCCCGATCTGCCACTTGTGCCCATGCTCGAGGCTGAAGAGAGCTTGGTGAGTTGGCGTAACTCGAGTCCAAGTGGTCCGAGTCCAAGAACCAGGGGAGCTGATGGACATCACAGTCCGAGGGCAGGAGACCAATGTCCCAGCTCAGTGTCCTAGGTCCCCTTCTTTGCTTTCAGTCTATTCAGGCCCTTGGTGGGTTGGATGAGGCCCACCCTCATCAGGGAGGGTAGTACTTTCTTCTTGGTTTACAAATTCAAATATTAAGCTCTTCCAGAAACACCCTCACAGACACACCCTGACTTCATGCCTAACCAGGTGTGTGGGTCATGTGGACACCTGAAGTTAAACATCCTGGTTCCAATTGCCCTCCATCCTTGCCAGCATTTTTTATTGTCTGCCTTTTTGATTACAGCCATCCTGGGGGTGTGTAGTGCTATCTCATTGTGGTCACAATTCATACTTCCCTCACAACTAATGATGTTGAGTCTTCCTTTTTTCTTTTCTTTCACCAATATTTATCCTTTTTATTTTTTTTATTTTTTTTAACGTTTTTATTTATTTTTGAGACAGAGAGAGACAGAGCATGAACAGGGGAGGGGCAGAGAGAGAGGGAGACACAGAATCGGAAGCAGGCTCCAGGCTCTGAGCCATCAGCCCAGAGCCCGACGCGGGGCTCGAACTCACGGACCGTGAGATCGTGACCTGAGCCGAAGTCGGACGCTTAACCGACTGAGCCACCCAGGCGCCCCACCAATATTTATCCTTTTTTTCCCTATCATTATTATCCTTATTTGCCTGCCAAACCACAGATACTCTAATGCCTGAAGTAAACAAGGCTACCCTGGTCCTGATGGAGAGTCAGCCAGTCTCCCCATGGATAGCTGCTATTTGTAGACAGCACGGTGAAGGAAAGTACCAGGGGTGCAGAAGGAGAGAATGTGATCTAGTCTTGGGGTGGGGAGGATTGTGTAGAAGGTTCCTGGAACGATCTCTTAAAACTGCAAGTTCAATCAGGTGCCTCTTCAATTGTTCCCTCTTGCTGAGGCAATAAATCCTTAGTTCTTAGCCTGGTATTCAAAGATCTGCCTAACCTGCTTCTAGCCTCATTTTCCAGTTCACAATACACCAAGAGCCCTTTCTATATCTGCCATCATGGGGCTCATGTCCTGACATGAGCTTTCAAGTTAGAGTGATACAATTCCTTTCCGAAAGTGGATGACAATGGCCTTGTTTATGAAAACCTCTTGACGAGTCCTGTTATATAGTCTTTGGTGATTGTTGAGCAATATAAAGTTCCCTGGATATCAATAAGGGCAGAATTCAGGTACTCTGCATGATAGAACCAGCAGAATTTTTTTTTTTAAGAGGTGGAAAGTGCAAGAGATGAATGTTGCAACTTTAAATGTTTATTTATTTATTTTGAGAGAGAGCATGAGCAGGGTAGTGGTAGAGAGAGAGAGGAGAGAATCCCAAGCAGGCTCTGTGCTGCCAGCCCAGAGCCTGACAGAGAACTTGATCTCGTGAACTTCAAGATCATGAGGTGAGTTGAAACCAAGAGTTGGATGCCCAACAGACTGAACCACCCAGGCTCCCCATGGAGTCAGCAGAATTTTGAGACAAGGGAGTCAGATCAGAGAAGGGAGCCAAGGGGGGAGGGGAGCAGGAGCTAGTGAGAAAGTGGAATCCCAACCATTATGGCAAAGGGGAGGACATGTATGGTTTTCTAGGGTTGCTGTAATGAATGATCACCAACCTTGTGGCATAAAACATCATAAGTTTGCATTCTTATGGTTCTGAAGGTCAGCGTCTGAGATGGGTCTTGCTGGGCCAAAAGAATGAAACTGGGCCCGTAACCTGCAACCATACACAAAAGTCAATTCAAAATGGATTAAAGCCTTGAACAGTTAATGCCAAAGGCAAAGGCAACAAAAGCAAAAGGAAGCCAATGGGACTATCTCAAGGGAAAAAGCTTCTGCACAGAAAAGGAAACCATCAGCAAAAATGAAATGGCAACCTAGCAAATGGGAGAAAAATACTTGTCAACTATATATCTGAAAGGATTAATATTCAAAATATATAAAGAACTCATACAACTCAACAGTGAAAACAGGAAGTAATCCAATTAAAATGTGGGCAGAGGACCTGACTAGACATTTTGCCAAAGAAAACATACAGGTAGTCAATAGGTATGTAAAAGATGCTCAACATCACTCATCATCAGGGAAATCAAAATCAAAACCACCCGAGATACCCCTCACACCTGTCAGAATGGCTATCCTTCCCATACTCAGCTGTGCTGTCCTCTTGAAACTCAGATATACTAGCAAGCAATCTGGAAGGATATATTGCCAAATGGCCAACAGTGGTCCTTTTAAAAGGTAGTTCAAGGGAGGGAAAATATCAGGCTTTTATTGTTGTTGTTGTTGTTTTATTTTACTTTATATTCTTCTGCCCTGTTGGGATTTTTTTCCACTGGGCATGTTTTACTTTTGGAAAAATTTTAAAAGCTGCAAATCCAAAAATTCCTGCTAAGACCAGAGTCAAGTAGTTTATTCCCTATGTTTTCTTTTAGGAGTTTTATGGTTTCAGGTCTTTAACAGTCTTTAACCCATTTGGAGTTGATTTTGTGTACGGTATAAGACAGGGGTCCAGTTTTATTCTTTTGCACATGGCTGTCCAGTTTTCTCAAAACCAATTGTCTTTTCTGCATTGCATATTTTTGACTCATTTATCATGGATTAATTCATGTTAATCCATATGCATGGATGTTTTTCTGGACACTATTCTGTTCCATTGATTGATGTGTCTGTTTTCATGCCAATACCTTACTGTTTTGTTGGCTATAGCTTTGTAATATAGTTTGAAATCAGGAAGTATGATGCCTGCAGCATTGTTCTTTTTTTTTTTTCTTGAGATTTCTTTGGTTATGTGGGGTCTTTTGTGGTTCCATACAAATTTTAGAATTATTTTTTATATTTCTTTGAAAAATACCATTGTAATTTTGATAGGGAGTGCACTGAGTCTATAAATGGCTTTGGGTAATGTGGACATTTTAATAATATTAATTTTTCCAATCCATCAGCATGGGGTAAAGTTGTTTTTGAGCCCTTTTATGATCCTTTGTATTTCTGTGGAACCTGTTGTAATGGCTCCTCTTACATTTCTGATGTTATTT